GTATGATTTTCTGTTTCTATTTTGTTGATTTCAGTCCTCAATTTGATTATTTTCTGTCTTCTTCTTCTCCTGGGTGAGTCTGCTTCTTTTTTCTTTAGCTTTCAGACATGCTGTTAGTTCACTGATGTGAGCTTTCTCTGCTTTCTTTATGTGGGTACTTAGTGCTATGAATTTCCTCTTAGCACTGCTTTCATTGTGTCTTTTCATAGTGTCATAGGTTTGAATATGTTGTGCCTTCATTTTCATTGAATTCAAGGAAGGTTTTAATTTCTTTCTTTATTTCTTCCTTGTCCCGGGGTGGTTCAGTAGTTGGCTGTTCAGTTTCCATAAGTTTATAGGCTTTCAGGGAGTAGTATTGTTGTTGAATTCTAATTTTACTCCATGGTGATCTGATAAAACACAATGGATTACTCCATTTTTTTAATGTATCCGTGGATGTTTGCATTGTTACTGACTACGTAATCAGTTTCAGAGATGATTCCATGAGGTGCTGAGAAGAAGGTATACTCTTTTTTGTTTGGGTGGAATGTTCTATAGATATCTATTAAGTCCATTTGATTCATTACAACTAACAGAAGTAATCTTATTTCTCTGTTAAGTTTCTGTCTGTTTGATCTGTCCATTGTCTAGAGTGGCATTCAAATCTCCTACTATTAGTATGTGGGGTTTGATGTGTTATTTGAATTCTAGTAATGTTTCTTTTACATATGTGGGTGATCTTGTATTAGGGTGGGTGATCTTGTATTAGGGGCATAGGTATTCAGGATTGAGACCTCATCCTGATGAATTGTTCCTATTTTCAGTATAAAACGTCCTTCAGCGTTTCTTTTGATTGATTTTAGTTTGAAATAATTTTTGTTAGATATTAGTATAGCCACACCCACTTGTTTCTTAGGTCCATTTGATTGGAAAACATCTTCCCAATCCTTTCCTCTGAGATAGTGTCTGTCTTTGACGTTGAGGTGTGTTTCTTGTAAACAGCAGAAGGCTGGGTCCTGATTTTGTATCCATTCTCTTAGCCTGTGTCTTTTTATTGGTGAATTGAGACCATTGATATTAAGCAATATTAATGACCAGTGGTTGTCAACTCTGGTTATCTTTCGGTAGTAGTGTTTGTGTGTTTCCCCTCTTTGGGTTATGCAGGTGTGGGTTTATCAGATGTCTGTGTTATTGTGGGTGTAGTTAACTTCTTTGGGATGAGGTTTTCCTTCTACTACTTTCTGTAAGGCTGGGTTTCTGGATGCACATTGTTTAAATCTATTTTTTTGTCATTGAATATCTTGTTTTCTCCTTCAATGGTGAATGAAAGCTTTGCTGGATATAGTAGACTGGGCTAGCATCCATGGTCTCTTAATTTCTGCAGCACATCTATCCAGGACCTTCTGACTTTTATGTTTCCATTGAGAAGTCAGGTTTAATTCTGATAGGTTTACCTTTATGTGTTAATTGACGTTTTTCCTATGCAGCTCTTCATATTCTTTCTTTGTTCTGTATTTTTTTTGTGTTTTGATTATTATATGGTGAGGGGATGTTTTTCTTATCCAGTCTATTTGGTGTTCTGTAAGCTTCTTTTGCCTTTATAGAGATGTCCTTCTTTAGTTTGAGAAAGTTTTCTTCTATAATTTTGTTATATATATTTTCTGTGCCTTTGAGCTGTCATTCTTCTCCTTCTTCTACCCCTATTATTCTCAGGATTGATCTTTTCATGGTGTCCCAGATGTTCTGAAAATTTTGTGTTAAGAATTTGTTTGATTTAGTGTTTTCTTTGACAAATGAGTCTATTTCCTCAATAGTATCTTCAGCGCCTGAGATTCTTCTTCTATCTCTTGTATTTTGTTGGTTATACTTGTCTCTGTAGTTCCTGTTCATTTACCTAGATTTTCAATTTCCAGAGTTCCCTCAGTTTGTGATTTCTTTATTACCTCTATTTCAATCTTCAAGTCTTGAACTATTTCCTTTACCTGTTTGATTGCTTTTTTTTTGCTTTCTTGGGTTTTTATGAGGGATTTATTACTTTCTTTCAGCTGTTTGTCTTCTCCATATCTTTAAGGGAGTTTTTTATTTTTCTTTAAAGGTCTCCATCATGTTCATAAAGTTACATTTAAAGTCGTTTTCTTCTACATCTTCTGGGTTACGATGATCAAATCTTCCTTTTGTATGTCTGCTAGGTTTTGGTTTACCATGTTGCTTTTTAGGATGTGGGAGGAATTCTTTCTTTCTTTCTTTCTTTCTTTCTTTCTTTCTTTCTTTCTTTC